TTATATTATAACTTTTATGTTATTATTTTATATATGTTTAGTTGGTATAGCGTCTGGCACGGTTTGCAAGAAGACGTCGGTTCGAATCCGACCGGATCGAAGGAATTTTTTCTGAGTGTTCGATCTTTGTATTAATAATTATAACAAACTAGTGGAGTAATTTCACAAAAAATAATTGAATATCAATTCAGTAAAAATTTAATTAATACAGTGAATAGCGACATCTCTCGCCAGGACTGGTAGCTGTAAAGGTACTAACTGGGTGATAAATCTTTCATAGATTTCTCATAGATGGCGCTACGACTAAAAAGTCGTTGAAAAACCAAATACAAAGACACGACGCAAGCACATAGAAAAATTCGTGAGGTCCGTTGGTTCGTTCCGTGCTTAGTTGGTATAGCGTCTGGCACGGTTTGCAAGAAGACGTCGGTTCGAATCCGACCGGATCGAAGGAATTTTTTCTGAGTGTTCGATCATTGTATTAATAATTATAACAAACTATTGGAGTAATTTCACAAAAAATAATTGAATATCAATTCAGTAAAAATTTAATTAGTTATTTTATAAGTTATGAATTTTTTGATATCTCGCACTTCAGGCTTGAAATCCTAAAAATCCACGCGGCGCCTATCGCGAAGCACGGCGAGATGGACTACGAAGCCGTGGTGAAGCTGTCAGACACTTTCAACGGTGCTGACCTCCGCAACGTCTGCACCGAAGCTGGCCTGTTCGCCATCAGGGCTGAGAGGGAGTACATCATTCAGGTAAGTGGACTTCGTCCAACCACAACTATCATCTGTTAACATACGTATCATCTGTTCAAAACATTCATGTATACTAAAAACAACATTTGCTATAGAACTATCGACGTAACGGATCGACAGCATAAAAAAATTGCCTCTGTACCATCAATGTAACTGTAATGGTATTACGGTAAAAAAGGATACTACCCGTCTCAAGTGAGACGGGTAGTATCCTAGTAATGAGCCTTGTGTTCAGTGTGAAATGTCATATTTCGACCGCTCCTACGTAAAGTATCGTATGTCGAAATTGCCAAGTTTACAGGGAAGTCTTTTAAAGTTTTGAATTCACGGAAAGGAACATAACAGGTGACTTTAGCATTTTTCAGTTTTATTCGGCAAACGGTTACTCACACAGAGTATTGTAAAATCCTACATATCGGTTAGATGATCTATTAGATTAGCTTTGTCGTGTTATGCTCGTTTCAGTGAATTCAGAACTTTAAAATGGTTCCCTGTAAACTTGGCAATTTCGACATACGATACTTTACGTAGGAGGTGTCGATTTGACATTATCGAAACTCATTCTGATACTACGGAAATACTATACAATGTGTTGATTTGCATTCCCGCTATATTTTATCTACAGAGGTCATTATATATCCGAAACAGGGGGGCTACACTCGATCTCCGTCCGAAACAATTACTGTCAAATAAGTAATATTCGACAAAATTAAAAGACAAGTATCCAGTATGAAGCTTCATTCGCATCACGCGTCTTTTCATCTGGTCAAGTATTGCTTATTTGGCAGTAATTGTTTCGGACGGAGATCGAGAGTAGACTTCCTGAACCCAAATCACTCAAAAAATAAATCGAAAAAAATTTAGTAAATTCTTACTTTTTATTTAATTGCGGTAAACAAATTTGATCCAAAGGTCATTGACTTGCACGGCACTTGCAAACATTTTGAACAATGACCTTAAATGCGCAGAAAGAAACGCATTTTAGATCTATTTGGTGGTGGGGTGCGGGTAGCGACGGCGGGGAGTGTCGTATCGAGCGCGCGATTGGTAGATCAGTCGACCTTGCTTCCCGTACTGCGTCTACGTCACGCTGATATCCCACATACATTCTATTCTAGTCTGTCACGAAATGCCACGTGGTTTGGTATGTAAACAAGAGTTAGTAGTGCAAAAAAGAACCGCTACCAGGTTCACCAGAACCTGCATGGCAAATAAGTTTCGAATTGATGTTAAATTAAGTAAACATTTTTATTTTCTTTTTATTAAAACTTTTAATCGGCTTGCCCTTGCAATACTAGTTATAAATCTAAAAAACTTATAGACGCGACTCGCATTTGATTATATTTTTTTCGATAATGAATTGCGATTTGACCTCGCTATTGTAATCTGTCAAAACGGCCATCATAGCATGCCGTACTGTAGTTACAAAAATAGCTATTTGGTATCGTGGCGACATCTGGCGTACCACCGGTCCACAGTTGAACGAAAAATGTTTCACATTGGAGCATTTACGGTAACTTTCTCCATTTGTTTACCTTCTTCAAATACGTTAATAATTTACCTAACCGAAATAATTTAATTTCAGGAGGACCTGATGAAAGCTGTACGCAAAGTGGCCGATAATAAGAAACTTGAGAGCAAACTGGACTACAAACCTGTTTAAAATTAACTGTAGCATTTAACTATATTAAACTTTATAATATACAAACCTAGCTATAATATCCTTATTTTGAATTGATGTCCTAATTATTGGAACTAAAATAAAAACCTTTAATTAAATAAATATAATTTATTTTTGTAACAACATATTTTATAAATAAATTACTCTTAAAACTAGATAAAGGCACACTTAATAAGTTAAAACAAACAGAAAATTAAGGCACAGCGATAATGCAATAGATTAATTAGTCCAAAAACACAATTTTAAACTTAAGCTTGGATTAACAAATGTATCTCGAATGCAGTCTGGATATTTCACCACCATGATATTCAATTATTTTTTTGTGAAATTACCACTAGTTTGTTATAATTTATGCAAAGATCTTTGCTGAGTGAAGCAAACTTTCATAGATTTCTCATAGATGGCGTTACGGCAAAGTCGTTAAAAATAAAAATAATATCTACAACAAGCACATGAAAAAAGTCCTGAGTTTGTTCCGTGACTTAGTTGGAATGGCATCTGACATTGGATCGAATGCAACCGGATTCCAAATCGAAAGAAAGAGTTCGTCCGGGGAAGTACTGCCACCTTACCTATTTCTGCTGCCAAGCAGTAATGTTAGCTTAACTGCATTCCGATTTTGAAGGGTAAGGGTGCTGGTGAAATTACAGGCACAGACTTGCCAACTTATGTCTCGTGGTGACGAACACAGTGGCAGAGTACCTCAGGTCTTTACGATTTAAAGCTCTGTGTGGCACTGCAACTGTTATGCCATCAGTCGCAACCCCGTCACTTGATATTAAAGAAATCGAAGTGAATTTTTTCTAAACGTTTGATCTATGTTTAATAATTTATGACTCTATATGTCAGTAAATGTTTTAAACAACGTTATTTGAGTCCCACTCAAGTTCAGAGGCAAAGAACACGTGTTGAATCATGTTACTTAATAAAACTTGGCAACGTGCCATTTTTCCTTGCTTTAGCAACATTCTCGAAATAGCATGAAAAATCCACGTATCCTTCAATTTTTCTATCTCTATCATATTGCTTATCCGCTGGATAAATATCGGACGTAGAATCGATAGATTTATTTGTATCGACAATTGAATTCGATTGATCGATATCTTCATTAGTCGATGAGAGTTCGGTATCGATTTCGTTTAGTAACGTATTTGATTTCGATTGCACGATTGGATTGAACCTTACTGAAGCGTTCCGCTGTACCGGATTACTTTGAGTTACCGTTTCTTCTTTCACATTAGGTAGTGGAAAATTGAAATTGCGAATTATTAAACTCATATGATTATGTTTTGGTGTTAAATTGTTTTTATAACAGTAAGTAATAAATTCTTCTTCTATCTCTTGTAATACAGATTGGCTGACAGTTTTGAAGTTGTCAGTCTTGCGGAAGTTTTCGACTATGATTTGTGCCAGCTGCTTGTTTGTTTGTTCGCTGCTGCCTCGCGATTCTTGGATGCGTTTGTAGACGCTTGCGCTTACTAAGACTAGAAATCTGAAAGGGAATTTTAGTTATTGAGATATAAAGTTCAAATCAGGGGGGCAATTCTCTGTCTCCGTCCGACATCCGTTCGAAACAATTACTGTCAAATAAGTAATATTCGACAAAATTAAAAGACAAGTATCCAGTATGAAGCTTCATTCGCATCACGCATCTTTACATTTGGTCAAGTATTGCTTATTTGGCAGTAATTGTTTCGGACGGAGATCGAGAGTAGACCCCCAGGAGTCCACACCCGTCCGAAACAATAAGTGATTTCAAAAAGGCTTGGCAAATAAAAATATAAAAAACAATCGTAAAAAACTAAAACATGCTCCCCTGAGAAAATTTTTCGAATGGCGCTTTCGCTTTTTCTACAAAACATCGACGAAGTCTGCAGGCAGGGAATTCCACTCCATAACCGTTTGTCATATAAATGCGGAAGCGATACCTTGGAATATCCACAACATAAAGGAACCCCCAGCTTTCCTCTTTTACCTCGATGATGGAAAGGGGAAGGCGAAATCAAAAAACATAGTAATGCTTTGCAAACTCGTCGTTATATAGATGTTAATTGTTACTTTATGCGTAATTATTATTCTTTTAACTACGCACATTACCAGTGCCTGTGTCTTCCCGTTTTGTGCAACTCACCTGGAATAATGGTCCAAAGCAATAGGTCCGTGGATCTCACAAGTAGAAATTATGGGCTCACTGGTCGCTGTACAAAGCAGGGGAAAAGCCTTGTGTAGCCCTTTTACTAGATAGTTGCCGAGACATCGCGTGCCCGTTTGGTTGCCTAAGTATTGTACTGTGGGAATAGATGTTTTTTTTATTTTATAGTTATGGTTCATCAAAAGTAGTACATATACTCTTAAGTGTAATTTTACATTAGTTTTGTATTTATGTGTAAATTTTAATTTTTTTTCCATTCTAGTTAAACTGATCGATTTGAAGTGAAATAATTGACGACACTCGTCAACTGTTTGGAATTCAGAATTAGTAGGACAATAGGTCAGACAATATTCGGTGATCTTTAACAGCATTAATTTTGAAACTACACGACGAGAAAAAAGATGTAACAGGTGATTGATGAATTCCGGTAACACAATATTCCAAATTCTTCTCAAAAGGCTTTAAAGTGCATAGAACATAAACATTTCTGAAAGTTTTGCAATATTGTTTTTTATGTTTTATTTATTGAATTGTAGCAGGTTAAGTGTAATTAACTACACAAAACGATGGTGCTACCCATCATCTGGGTACATTTATAAATAAGATACGCTTGGAAAGGTGAGCTGTGGCCCTGTATTGTAATTAGGAACTATATCACAATTTAAATAGCTTGTTATCGGTGCCAAAGCTACGCGCTTCCACGCACACTATACTAGCTGTATAATTACTATCTAATTGTACAGATATTTCACGGACATTTCGATACATACAACAAACACTATGCATACTAATTTTTTGGTCATTTTCTGTAATTTTTGTAAACAACCATATTATATTTATTTACTAACATTATTATCCCCGAATTTGTGAAAAAAAATGAAAAAGAAACAAAAAACAGAAAAGGTCCAAAAATTAAGTTGGCATAATGTTAATTGGAGGTATAGATGTGCACTTTTTTGTTGAAATAAATAGCAAATTCAATAATAAACATTAACTGCTACACGCCCTTTGTGTAATAAGGCCACATATGCAAAATTATAACATTTTAGGACTGCGTTTTGAAGATTCCACAAACGAAATCAGTACTAGAATGTCACATAATATACACAATTTGTTTTATGTAGTTTATATTACTTTGATGTAATAAGAACACTTAAATAATGAGTGGCTTTATCATACCAAGAATATAACTTATCACAACCCGTACTTACCATTTCTAAGTTTGTTAATATCCAACCCCAATTGTGATAATCTCAACAATTCGTCTTCATTATTCAAACTATGGTCAACTGTCAGCTGTACAACTCTCAACACAGAGTTATCATCCGTTCTGCACAGCAAAGCTCTAATTTCACCGACATTCGCTACAAACAGTTTGTTGTTTACTACAAGAGCTATTGCCACTGTAACTCCTCCAGATAGGTGTTGGTCAATTTCACGGAGACGTAGCACTATTGGGTTTTCTGTATTGCTAAACTGAAATCAGAAATGATCAGTCTAATCTATATTGATTTCTTTATTGTGTTCCTACTGAATACTGACATAAGAATATGTGTCTTATTAATAAATGGCTCCTCCTAAGTTCAAAATTGGCTGAGATATCACTCAGATCTTTAAATGCATCTCAAATTCTCTTGTATAAATAAACTATAGTTATTAACATCTGTGATGATACCATTTGAATTGACCAAGACCCTGCATGTGATGCCTTAATGATGACATTCATTAATAGGCAGAATTACAAAGAAAACCTATTAAAGATTAAATCGTTCAAAATAGCTGCGCTTGCCACTCTCTCTCCAAATAAAATAAATAACACAAACGCAACTACAGTCACAAACCACCACCAAAAATATACCCGACACGTGTTTCGCCTCTCCACGAGGGATCCTCAGGGGTTGTTGATTGCTTAACGCTCGGCCGAAGTATGGGCTCATTCAAAACAGTTGGTATATTTATACCCCGCTACCCCCAGTGTCACCATTGCTGAAACATTCAATTGTTCAATTATTATACAACAATAATTGAACAATTGAATTTTGCGTCGTCACCTTTGTTATGGGTATTTTCGAGAAAAAAGATGTAACAGGTGATTGATGAATTCCGGTAACACAATATTCCAAATTCTTCTCAAAAGGCTTTAAAGTGCATAGAACATAAATATTTCTGAAAACAATGTTTTGCAATATTGTTTTTTATATTTTATTTATTGAATTGTAGCAGGTTAAGTGTAATATACTACACAAAACGATATGGTGCTACCCATTCTCTGTTTACATTTATAAATAAAATACGCTTGGAAAGGTGAGCTGTGACCCTGTATTGTAATTAGGAACTATATCACAATATAAATAGTAGCTTGTTATCGGTGTCAAAGCTATGCGCTTCCACGCACACTATACTAGCTGTATAATTACTATCTAATTGTACAGATATTTCGATACTTACAACAGACACTATGCGTACTAATTTATTGGTAATTTTCTGTATTATAAAACCCGTGTTGTTGTACCTAATTATGTCCATCTGTTCTAAACATTTTGACAACTCTCAAATGAGTTGTTGTCTTGATTGCACCTTAAGTGATATTTATACAGATTTAAATCGTGTATTTTTTTGAACAAATCTATGTTTCGGACTCTGCAGGTCTCATTGACAATATTTTACACCCAAGAACTAAATAAAGTCAAAGATGTCTTAACCCCTTCATGGACAGTACTGTAATAATACCGCACACCAAAAGTCACTACTTTTCTTTATGCCGTAGTGACCATATTGATTCAACATAATTATTACGCTTTATCACTGACGACTGATCCCGCCGACATTCATAGCAGCTTTCAGTTCGTGCAAATGTTTCTTGTGCATAAGCAAGTACGGCTATGACAGTGGTACAGTGATTTTATTAAATTTATTTCAGCAAAAAAGTCTAAATCTATACATTAAATTGAGTACACCGTAAAATAGCATAACCCTTGCAGTATAAGACAAATAAAAATTATTATGCGCTAACAATTCCAAAAGAAACAATTACTAATTAGATTATATTTAGTGATGAAGGTTATTTATTTATTTTTTGAATAATGAAATCACAGTTTGAAAAGTAGTAAGAGAGGTGATTTTGATTACTAATAGTATACTGTATGTATCGTTTAGTTCTTCATGAAATTTAAACGAAAATTAATTCATTCATGTCACCTAGATGGTAGAAAATACCCTAACTAACCTGATTTTAAGTGTGAAAACACGTTTCATTATTATTTATTATAGAATAGGGTTTCTGCAGTACAGATTATTGGTCAATTGAATTACTAAAAAACTATGCATTTAGAGAAAAAAATTGAGGGATTTTTTACTGTCAGAAAGTTCCAGCTCGAAAACAAACTGCACAACCACAAAAGGCAGTCGCTGGCGGCGCACTGACATGTACGGTCTTACATCACCTCACACAAACACGTCGGTATTCACTGTACTGTCTTGGTGTGCACATATTAAATATGTGTGTGTAACGTCCACAGATGTATCTCAAATAAATAATTCAATTTTGTCAGTACATTGTTGATACTTCTCTATGGAGAAGCAGTAGGCGGCAACTACAAAGAAAGCACTTTACTGTCTATGAAAGGGTTAAGTAAAACCTTAATATCAGTCCTGCACTTAGATGGATTTATTATTATGGAGCTTAGAAACTTTGGTCTGCACGATTATGTAACTCAACAAAACATAATTTATACATCTGTAATTTAACTCTCTATTCAATCTGTATCTCTATTGAATCTGTATTCAGGCGACCAAATTTTAATAGAGACGGTGGCTGGAGCTTGCCACCGACCTGTAAGCCGTGTCTTCATGGCGCTCGATATGCAGCTGCAGATGTTAGTAATAACGACGTGGTGAGCTCTGTGTGCTGGACTGTTCCCGACAACAATCCTACGGACAGCAGTAGCAATGAAGAGTCCCAGGACGCGCTGACGCAACGTATCAGCTTCCCGAGTTCCCCATTGCGGACTGCGTCATCGGCGCGCTTTTGCTTGATGTGACGCGGTCGCGAACGTTGCAGTCAACCCCTGAAGAAGACCATCGATTATGGTCGAAACTAGTCGGACCGCTTCAGACTAAAATACTACGCGAGTAAGCCCCGTTACTTTTATATTATAATGTATTCACCTTGTTAAATTACAAATGTATAATTATGTATAGTCGAGTTATTTAGTTTGGTAGTACTGACAATGTTATCAAATCAGTTTTTAGTAATGTTGTGCCAGCAGACCACAAATTCGGTTACCATTTTTTTGTAACGAGATTCTCATTTCTGATCAGTCTTAATTTTTAAGAAAAATGAATATTCTTTATTCTTCCCGTATTCTCCCATTATCTTTCGTATAATTTTATTTCTTTCTCCATCCTCCATGATAATTTTCCACGCTGACACCGGTCAAAAGTTTGTTATTGAACGAAAACGACGCCTAACTTTGTTTTTTTTTTAAACGATTTTATTTTTTATTTCCCGCTAAATAAAACTTCCTACAACGTTTCTAAAAGAAAGAAAATAACATGAGCTCTCAAATTATATTCTTGTAATGTCATTAAAATATATATATAACCGTCATTGTGAATAAAAACCGCCGAAGTATTTTAATAACCGGCAATCTGTCTCACTACCGCTACACATGTCTCTCAACCCTGACATTGGCAAAATCGTCGCGCAAAACGACGGAGCCATAGACACAAAAGTTGAAGTTGAAGTTGTAACGAGAATTCCATGCAAATAATCCCAAAATACAGCAAATACCAAGTAAACAAGAGTTGACACATACTTTATGTATTGATATAATATAATTATGTTAAATTTTACCTGCTGTGGAGTCATATTAGGTGGTAATTGATACTGCAAGCTAGTTCTTTCTGCTATCATCTCATCATAATTCTCTATGTATGCCTTCTCCACAGAAGTGAACGCATTCCTAAAATTAGAGAATACTGTACTTATAATATGTCTAGAATCTGATTTGGTAATACCTGAATGTCAATGTTGTAAAATTTGTTTTCATTTTAAAAAAAAATTGATTTTTCTACTTTGAACTAGAATTTCGTCATTATTAACATTGGCCTACCAACAAATGGACGTCAGATCTAATTCAAAAACCACGAAAAAAAGTCTGAAGTTACTTAAACAAACGTAGCGACATGTAGCGTAATATAAAAAACTAAAATGTTTAATTTAAATTGTAACGTCATTGCAGTACTGCCTAATTTAAGGGCCCACAAAATACCAATTTAGCTTCTACTGGAAACTTAACAAAATGCACCATATTTAGCTTCGCTGAAAATTTCTTGAACACAAGAGTAATGGAGCCTTTATCGTAAATATTAATTCATTTTTATATATATTATTATATTCATTTTGTACAAATTCACTTAAAGAAATAATGAGTTGGGTAGATACATACAAATATTACTACAAACTACTATAAGAAAAGTACCAATATTCCAACTAAACGTAAACTCAAATACACGTAATTCCAAAAACTGATTTATTATAAAACCATTACGCTTTTGAGTCATTTTGAGACGTTTTTTACAAAGACAGAATTAGCTTTTGTTTTGAAATTTTTCTAAAAAATATATTTGACATTATTTAAATTCAAGCTAACATTATTTCGGGCAAATGTATTTTCTGACTTCTGATAGGTAATCCCAAGCAGTAAAACGAGTACAACAATTTTTGTTAGTTATTGCTAACGTTTAATAAAAAAAATAATTTTTAAAATAAGATTAAAATCGACTCTATAGTTTCTTTGTTCTAAATATTTCAATCTTGTGGTTCGAACAATTTTATTAAAAATTACCAAGACATTTACATAAGCTTCTTGAAACTGACGTAACGGGTCTCTTTCCATCTTTTGCGCATGCAATGTGTAGAAAAAGGACAGTTAGCTATTTGATTATATTTTGTATGCTTTTGTAATTTATATTTATGACTCATTTATATATTAAATACTATAAAACTGTGCAGAATAACATTTTTAAATGAGAACTATGATAACACAATATATTTGTTAACTGAATATATGATACAAAATCCTATTTTTACACTTTACTGTAGTAATTTTTACAAGTTATTATACATGGTACTATATGATTGACTGCGCTGTCAGTCAAACAAACGAAGACTGTTGCGCGATTGACACTCTGAATGCAATTTTAACACCCTATAGGTGTGGACAATTTTTAGTGCGAAGCCGACATCCATTTATTTGTAGGTCAGTGATTATTAACATAAAATTATTCAGTTAATTTAAATTCAACTAAGAAAATTATTCAAAATGTGATAATCATGATGAGCAGGGGCTACCTAAGTATGAAGTAATAGACAATCATTTTTAAATATCCAGACATGTAAACATTACAAAAAATCTGTTAAAAAATAAGTCGTTTCTCTTTTTTTTTTTATAGTACTTTTTGCAATGTGCGATTGGTTAATGGGCCAAAACCAGTTTTTTGTTATGCTCAACTCACCTCAGCCTGTCCCTGATCTCCTCATCCGAACTTGTAGGTGCAGGTGGTGGAAACAGCAGCTCAACAGCCATCCGTTGCATAATGAACTGTGCGGCCTCAACGCCATTCTGGGGCTCAAATACTCCATAGAGACTCCTAGAATACAGTTGAAAAGTCTTACGTTTAGGTATGTAGTATTTCCCACAACCAAAGATATAATTTACAATGCCGTTCTCAGCTAAAGTTACAAGATACGTTTTGTACTGTCTTGACAAACGACTCAGAGGTTATGGGAACTGTAAATTCATAAGAATAAGGAACGGTTCATAAGACAAACGGGGTTTTGCTATACGCGCTTACTACTACACAGTAGAGCCTGGTCGCGCGCTTTTAAGGCTTGGCATTTGAACCGGGCCTTATAAACAAGATGGGCTTACGAATTATCTTCGGCTTGGCAGTAGAAACACAGCGATTCCTCATTGTTGGTACCGCTACCAACTCTGTTGAAACCTGAAGCCACACTCGCGCTCTTGCACTTTGGCAGATCATCCGTCCATGGTCTGGCTATCATCCTTCCAGACGTAATAGAATTCTACGCCAAAATCTAGAATTTGCAAAACGAACGATATCCCCTTTTGTATCTATGGCTCCGTCCGTCAACTTCAACTTCAACTTTTGTGTCTATGGCTCCGTCGTTTTGCGCGACGATTTTGCCAATGTCAGGGTTGAAAGACATGTGTAGCGGTGGTGTGGTGAGATAGATTGCCGGTTATTAAAATACTTCGGCGGTTTTTATTCACAATGACGGTTATGTATATATATTTTAATGACATTACAAAAATATAATTTGAGAGCTCATGTTATTTTCTTTCTTTTAGAAACATTGTAGGAAGTTTTATTTAGCGGGAAATAAAAAATAAAATCGTTTAGTGAAACAAAGTTAGGCGTCGTTTTCGTTCAGTAACAAACTTTTGACCGGTGTCAGCGTGGAAAATTATCATGGAGGATGGAGAAAGAAATAAAATTATACGAAAGATAATGGGAGAATACGGGAAGAATGAAGAATATTCATTTTTCTTAAAAATTAAGACTGATCAGAAATAAGAATTTTTCTCCGACTCACATTGTTGGGGCAGAAAATTATGAAATGAATGAGGTCGAGCAGAGGCTATTCGGGGCTGGTTACAGATTTATGTTATTAAGGTTTAGAAATTTGTATAAAGTGAATACTAGTGGAGAGTGTGCGTTGGCTAGGAAATAGTTGATATTTATTGGGCGAGGAATATTTTCGGGAAGCAAATCGTAAAGTGGGAAGGATTTCGCCAACGTCAGGGTTGAAAGAAAATATCCCCTCGAGCCTCCTTCAAAATCACTTCAATGTGACATTCATGTTTCTCTATGGAAAATGTTATTGATGGCAAGATTCGCTCTGGACCTTTTGGAGGGAAAAGCGTCGTTTTTATTTTGACTTTCAATTATTTTGTGAAATCTAGTTTAAAGTGGAATAGGATAGTGCTATTGTGCCTTAATCGAAGATTAAAACGCGAAATTATACGAATCTCGAACTAATATACCCGTATCGGCCCATTTTTAAGGAAACACGAGTCAATCCAAGCACGCCGCCTCAAATTGCCTATCCTCTTTGTGGCGGCCATACTTACAGAAACATAATTAAACGAAGACATGGCTCAAAGAACTTGTATCCAAGCCAAAATTATTAATAAAAAATAAATTAATTAAGATGGTAAATTTTTAAATTCTTTTCCTTCCAAAAGGCCCAGAGCGAATCCCAAATTATAAATCATTTCTTTCTGAAATTGATCCGGAAAATATTTTTCAAAAATTTGACAATAAGTGTTGCTGTATTCAGAAACCAATCTGAAACTAAATAATGAAACAAAATAGTCTAGACAGGTACATAATTAAAAAAATAAAGAACGGCTTATATTACGTAGTCCAACACAGGTTCATCACCATCATCATCAGTTTAACCGTATGCACAACTGGACATAAGCCTCACCAAGAGCACGCTAACTCTCTCGGTCTTGTGCCGCCCGCATCCAGCCGCTTTCCTCAGGTCGTCTTGCCCCACCGCATCCTACATTACGTTTTCCTTGACATGGTTGCTATTCCAGAACAAATCTGCTCCATCAGCGATCAACACTCCTGCAAACAAGCCCAGCCCACTGCCACTTAAGCATATAAAAAGCCCTTAAGGTTACTGACTTTGCGAGCTATGTGGCGGTCACTTTCATGTCACTTTAGTTCTTTGACGTCTTAGAATAATAACGCATAGAAACCTAGTCCGCACACGCTAAGTGAGGCAAATTGAAGCGCTCCCAAAGGGCCCACACGAGCGGGCGGGCCTTCAGTGCTCAAGGTCAACTTGCACCGCGAACAGCTCCAGAATTTTAGCTAAAAATGACGAAATGTGCGGTAAATGAGTGTAAAAATACGTCTGACAAACATAAAATAAATACTAAGTTTGACGTATGACCTCATTAGGAATTCGGTCTAACAGAGAAACCCCAAGCATAGCTTGCTACATCGCACATAAAGTGATTTTGAATTTGTAGATGAGGCCTGTCCAACACAGGTTGTCTAGTTAAAACAACTTCACGTGTTATTGCAATATTATTTCCAGTCACATTTATATTATAAACCTAAATATTAGCGACTACCGTTTTCAGATCGCATTTTCATGAAATACCCTCAAAGCAGGGCAAGTTACCTATACTTTACTATAATCTACTTTTCATGTTTATATACGAAGCTAATATTCCGCAGTCTTAATTTTTATTGTCATCGTCCACCGTGCTCACTTAACCTATACGCAAACCCACATCGAGTATATAACCAGAAATAGAGACGAAATAAGAGCCATATAAGTATTCGGAGCGGTATTCTGTAATCGTTGAGACTCGCTATTCGATATTCGTTATGCGGTTTTACCGACGGTATCGATTTTGTCGACAAACGCTATTGTGTACACTACTTTAACCGATCATAACGACAATTCGGTTCGATACGTTCGTTAAGTTTCGTTAAGATTCGACATTTTTATCGGCTCTTCGAGGCCGCCCTGCTTACGTTGGTATTCTTAACGACGCGCTTTCTTCTTACTTTTCACTGTTAGATATTTGTGTTTTGATCGCATTAAGTGCAAAAAATTTACTTTTTGCCTTAAGGTAAGCCAAAATGTTTCGTAATTGAAAGGGTTTTGTTCTTGGCTGTGTCTTGTAATCACTTGTTTATGTCGTGATGCCATGATTGTAGAGGTTAACGTTAACGTTTCCCTAGTATATTCTCATCTCATCAGATATTTACCTTAGAGGATGGACAAAAATAAAGTAAATATTTACAGAACTCCAATTTGCTTACTTGTCGTGATGTATTAATTTATCCGTCATTTTGCAGAAGTATTCAGAAAAAATAAACACAAACAGAACGTAGTCCAATCGCGACAGAGGGAAAATGACTTTTTTAAAACTAATTATAAAATAGAAAACGAACAATTCGTTTGATGGTCGATATAAGACTGATTTATTTTAATTCAATATTCTTACTGCTAAGCACCTTATATACTATAGACATGCAACTATGCAGTTTTGGGTGCAGGTGCATTTATGATGACCATGCCATCTCTACAGGAATGAGACTGTGTAACTATCGTTATCGTGGATTTATAGAATAGCATAATCGGTAAGTTGTCGATACGGCACCCGACGACTTTCGCTATCAGAGCCATACCGAATCATAACGAAAATCGTTACTGCAACAGACGCGTACCGACAACGATGTGACGTCAGCGTTACATCATCGAAAAAAAGACGAAATGGGAACATCCCGACGGGAGGCTATGTTTCTGGACCAATCACAATCGAGTGTTCAAATAGTTATTTACAAACACTCAGGTTATTTAGTTTGTGCAAAGTTTGATACATTCGAGGAAAACGTACTGTTTGTTTATTTTTTCCGAATACTGCAGCAAAATGACGAATGAAATAATACAACACGACAAGTAAGCAAATTGGAGTTCTGTAAATATTTCCTTTATTTTTTCCATCCTGTAAGGTAAATATCTAAGAGTTGTTTTGAGTGTATGTACAATTGAGGTTGTTTTCAGAAAAAAGCGGGGTGTAAAAGCCAACAAAGCTCAGCTGGAGGAGCTTGTTGCGTACATGGTGTAACATCCAGATTTTTCCCGAGGGGCACAAATGGGGTACGATGGGAGAAAAACGAAAAGTGAAATGTGGGCCGAGCTTACGAATAAGCTTGATCGTCGGGGGGGGGGGGGGGGATAAAGACCCAGAATTGTGGCTAGTTGTAAGTATCTCTCCAGCATCGTAACTTTATTTTTGATAACTCTTCTTCAATTATTCTCACTGCTTTTCCTTGTCGGTAGACATGGCGAGATCTTAAATCCAAGGCTTCCACGAAGGCAGCAGCCATTCGTAGAGCAAGAATGGCCACAGGGGGCCATCCCAATTACATCTAACCACTGTCACTGCAAGAACAGGCTACACTATGGACAAATGTTATTATGAGGATTTGGCATTAAGAGACACTCTATCAGAGAGTGATTGTGCCCAAATCAGGCTGATTTCTGAAGACAATATTGAGGAAGTGTGCGCGATCGAGATAGCTCCAGAAGATAGCACGTTAAAGGAAGAGTGGCAAACTCATACTGTGGAGGCTGTGCCTGGGCCAAGCAGCCAAGAATATGAGCCGGTAGCAGTACTGCACATATCTTCCGAGCCCTACTCTGCAACGGAAGCTACAACATGCTTTATTGGTCCAAATACAGCTACACTTTCCTCTGTTCCCTCTCCAGCACATCGTTCTACTCGTTCCCAAGCACCACGTTCTGCTCCTTCCACTGCTCCAATATCCGCCTCATCCTAAAGGAGGCCCCAGCCCAAAAGGCCTCGGTTAGCGACTCAAATCTCGGAAGCGAAGGAGACCTTTAAGAACATTGCCGCCTCTCAGGCAGAATCAATGCAAATGTTTGCAGAGGCTTCACTTAGGCAAGCTGATGCTGCTATGCGGCAAGCTAATGCCGCTATAATGCAAGCCGAAAATGAAAGAAGGCGTTTGGAGATTCAGGAGAGGCAGGAATTATCTCTGCTTGCTGCATTAAAAGAGCTTACGACGTTGCTACAAAATATGACTGAGCCCAAGTGAACCGATACAATATTGATGAAACACTGTCTAAAACTAGTTATGATGTGATATATATGTATAATGTGATTTGTTGTATAAGTTTTGTTAATTATTATAGTATGCCATGTGCAATATATGAGACATCAATACATATTGATAAAACACTGTCTAAGACTGATTATGATATGATAATAATAAATGTGATTCGTAGTATCTAATGTTTTGTTAATTATTATAGTGTGCCATGCTCAATATATGAGACATCAATACATATAGATAAAACACTGTCTAAGACTGATTATGATGTGATAATAATAATGTGATTTGTAATATCTAATGTTTTGTTAATTATAGTATGCCATGTTCAATATATGAGACATCAATAAATATTGATAAAACACTGTCTAAGATTGATTATGATGTGATAATAATAATGTGATTTGTAGTATCTAAAGTTTTGTTAGTTATTATAGTATGCCATGTTCAATATATGAGACGTCAATACATAATAGGGGTTAAAGTATGAAATTGCCGATTTGTACTGAAAATCTA